GGTACCTGGGGAAGCACTCCAGCGGTTCTCACTCGGTAGAGAAGTTCTTCTATTCTGTATATGCTACTCCTACTACTAATTATTATCATTTCTACTACTGATGAGCACGATTTCTCTCCTGTGGCCTTACCTGTTAGGGCTGCTGTTGACTTCAGCAGAAAGGGAAATGGGTTACTAGTCCATATTTACTAGCAAAGGTGAACTAGACCTCCTGGTTCTAGTAAAAAAAAAAAAAAAATCTCTCTTCCCTCTTCACCTTCCCCTAAGTGTCTTCAATTATAAACTCTGCTTTTTCAAACCAAAGTCTGTATTCATGAAAACTTCACATCCCTGAGACAATAAAACTAATGCACTGTAGATACTAGTTACGTGTCCACATAAAAAGAGTCAGGTTTAAGTTTTTTGGAAATATATCCTATAGTGAGCCTTTCAGGGCTAAATTTTTAGGGATAAATTAGTCCTTCGAAATATAACTTGAACTTGTGTATAACTCAGGAATGAATAATTTAACGAAACTTGTTGGGGGGAGGGGTGATTGAATGTGCCCAGACCCAGAGTGGAGGATCCCTGAAAACAATCCTGAAATAGTTCTCTTTGAGGACCCCAGGAATAACTCAGCCTTACATGGACATTTTCTTGTCCCAATGTTAATTCAATTGGATGAAATTTGACCTGGATACTTTTCAGCCTGGCCATGGTTGTACATAAGCCACTTAATGTAAGAAAGGTCTCACAGTGGCCCTGTGAAATGTTTAACTTGTAGGTACAGTATGGGGCTGTAAGGCTGTTTAGGAAGACCATTTTTTTTTCACCTAAGAAAGGACACATTTCTCCAACAGTGACACCACTAAAAGGGAGTTTGGCCCCCTTAGTCCTTATGGGATCTGGCGAGTGATAAATAACCTTTTAGACCTCTGCCGGAGAGGACGACCCAGTAACTTCTCTTTCAGATTTATGGAGGCTGTTTCCCCAAAGAATTTAAGGTGTCTAGCTCTAGGGGAGATAGTCCCCTACTGCTCATTAATTTGTGAGTATCTATTACTAATGCATACATATACCTATAATACCTAAATATGAATATATTTAATATATATGAACTATATGAATATATTAAAATAAAAAAGCTGCTCTGTTCTTCAAGAAACCCTTCTCCCAAGTTTCCTAAGATTGAAGGATCAATTTCAAAATGCAGGAGCCGGAGTAGCTTGATTTGTCCTGGATGTGCAAATGCTTCTTCAAGTCACAGACATGTAGCTAAGCAGAACTTCAACAGAAATACAAGAAAATACTCTCTGATCAGGGGCAACGGCTTAGCATGCGTTTCAAGATGAGGAAGCTAGATAATTTTAGGCAAAATTCAATCAATTGTTCCTAATTAATATACTAATCTTAAATCTTGATTACAGACTTAAATATCAACAATTCAGATTTCGGCTTAAAAGAGCAAACAAAAACAATTCTAAAGTATACTTATGAACCCACATGTAAAACCTCCCCAGTTAACTAAGAGCACATACGTATACCCAAAAGGTTGGACTCATGTACGTTTGAGAAACTCTGGCCAAGTCACCAACGCTGAGGTGGGGATGGGGTCGAGATGAACATTGTGTGAGAACAGAAAAGTTGGGGAAAATCCAAACTTCCCTTGTTTGGCAGGCCAGAAATACCATGAGAACAGCTGTTTTCCTGGTGTTTTGGTTTCCACTGCCATTCATAACCAAATGTGCATGGAAATAAAAACCAGGGAGAAGAAAAACCCCCAGGCACAAAAGCTCCACAGTTTTCTGTCTTTTGAGCTGAGATTGAGGTCAGCTTCCCATTTCTAACTATCAAGCACGTGCGTGTGTGTGCGCCCCCCCCCCCCACACACACCAGCAACTTCCCAGGTCACCCTCCAGGAAACACAAAAGGTGGGGAATATTTTAGCATTAAAACAGAAACAAACAAACATTATTCTTATCTTATAGTGTATTTTTCTTTCTTTAAAAAATAAAGCATGATAAATGTCCGTAAAAACTTGCTTAAATTGCATGTTAAGAATTCCTCCCATTTGTTCAGCATTTAAATAAGAAGGAAAACCAGCAAACTCAGAGCTATGCCCTCTCCACCCCACCTCTGCCACCACATTGGAGAAAATCCAACAAACAAAGCTATGAACAAAACAGGGACCGGGACAAAAAGATTGCTGGGGGTGGGGGGATGGGACCTGAAGAACACTGGAGCTTTCTGAACGGCCACTGGCACAGGTCACATTCCTGTCCCGGGACCCAGTGTAGTTTTCCAGCGATTAACTCTTCTGTAACCCAAACACGGAGCGCACTCTGTTTTAGGGTGCTGCCTTACCTTCTCTTTCAGAGTGTTATAGATGTACATGAGAACGGCTCTTGGCATCCTCACCACAGTGATTAAAAATGACCCTTTGACAACTGTTCCCTGATGGTAGCAGAAAAGGATGGAGAGAGATGAAAGGATCGGGCGATCAGGAGGGTCATTTTTATTTCTGGGAACAGGAGAAAAAAAGACAGCATTTAAAAAACACTATTTAGAAAGAAACGAGAAACTTCTCTCTGGTTCAAATCATCTGTGGTACTAACAATTTAGAAAGCAGGATGCCATCCGCATTTGGCAAATTTTTTACACTCCTTGGTAGCTAAGGTTAAATGATTTCTTGGACGAAGTTAATTCCATTTGGTGGCGCTCAATGTTACAAACATGGAACAGAAAATTAAAAAAAAAATACTGATGAGTTAAACAAGTTTTCCTCTTTACCACACCTACCACCTCCACCAATCCATTAAATTGCGTATTGATCCCATTTTCATTTTCAGAAGTTTAATTATATAATAATCCCCAAGGTTTAAATTACACACGTGCAACTGTAAACATGGCCAGTATTAGCTCCGTGATTAAAATCACCACCAAATCACATGACCAGGATTGGCAGCCAGAGAGGAACCAGTTTACAGCGAAGGGAGGAAACGTTCTGGCTTTCACACAGCTCCAAGCTCCTGAAACCCAGCTGATTTCTACTCTGCTCTGTAAAGGTCACTTCACTGTGAATCATTTACGGGACTTGTCATGACACAGCTCTCAAGAATGCAAAAGTCAGTTTCACAGGCAGGAAAAAAAGTGAAAAAGAACAGAATGGGCATATCCCCTACCCAAAGCTGAAAGATAAAACAAGGGAGGGAAGGCTGATGCAACCCCTCCCCTGACACTCTGATGCCAGTTCTAGAAAATGAGGCCCTTTCCGAAAAGCCACTTCACTGATTCCAAGTGAAGCTTGCTTTCTTCATAATGGATTATTCTACAACTTGCTCTGGTTGCTAATAAGTCACTATGAATTAAGGTTTGTGACAAGAATGTAGGTTTTGAGGGAAGAAAAGGAAATTGGCCAGAAATGTTTCAAGAGTTGGCAACAGCCGTATTTTGCTGTTACTTAAATCATCCAGGAAGGAATAGAGAATATGAAAGTAATATTGCGAGCAGAATAACTGCAATCCAGTTGTGCCACAAAAAGGGCGATGTGTGTTTCAACTCAATATTGTTGAAAATAGGAAATACCAGGGAAGCTATTGCTGATATGAATTAATTTAGATCTGATAAACTAGAAAAGTAGCACAGCCAGGAAAATCTGACACATTTTTTTTCCTTTTCCTCATTCTTTTTTTTTAAAAGGAAGAATGTTTACTTTCCCATTTAGGAGATTTATGTGCCTTAGGACATATTATGGTGCTCAAGAGGGGATGCAGGGAGAAGGCAGCACCTGCTTTCCATCTGGTAGGGAAACAAAGGATTCACAGGCCATTGTGAACTGGGCCTTGGGGGCTGGTCCTCCAGGTACTGAAGTTTGGGGTTAGGCACCCGCTTTCCGAGGCTTTGCTGGGATGGGATTAACCATTTCAGGCAGAGGAGTGTCTGCCCTGTCTGGACTGCCCTCATCCATGTTGCATCCCAGTGATGGCTCCAGCCGCTCCAGGGCTTGGCTGGAAGAAGATGTAGATATTCCAGAAGCTGAGTTACCACGTGAGAGAGAAAACCTGAAAAGAAGGCCAGCTTGTGGAGCCAAGAGTCACTCAATACCTGCCCTGAGAACTAAATGCCACCCCACAGGGAAAGGTCAATCACTGGAGGGTCTTGGAGTCCCCACTTTCTCTCCCTAGACCTTTTTTCCATGTTCAAAGGTAACATCATCTTATCATCCCTCCTCCGCTATGCATGTGGCTGGGGCCTTCATCTCTGTTGCCTTCACAACCAGCAAAAACTGTCTTCAGGAAGAGGCTCTGATTACACCTGGTGAAGCTTAAACTGAAACCACCATATTTTGAGAATTGGCGTTTGGGACTGCAGTGCAGCGAGGGGTGTATTGGGCAGCTTAGTGAGGGCTTGTGAGGATGCTAGGGCCTCTCGTCAGGCCTATGCCTCTGTCTCTAGGGAGTACTGCATGCTGGGCATCTTCCACCGGGTTCTGTGGGTGGTGGCAGTAGGAAGACCCTGGGCAGTGTGAGAGAGCTGGAGACTCGAGGTTGTGCCCCACATGCCTAGCTCCCCTACTTTTAAACTTGTGGCTGCTGAGTGCTAAAGGTGCCTGGCCCTGTGCAGTGGAGCCAGGGCCCCAGGACACTGCATCAGCTTAAGTCACTGGGCAAAGCATTTAATGGTTCCATTCATCCAAGTCTGTAGCACCTCTGGGTCATGGTACGTAAGTGCTGTTTTGCAACTGCTATTTGCTCAGACAGTAGAGCATAAGTCGAATCCAGCAACTTCGGGGTCCTAGAGGCACGTTTTAGCTCCGGTTAGATCCAGTCTAGTGCTCATTGAGAACTCTTCAACAGTATGGAAAATTCATTTTGTGCTACGGCCCCTGGACAAGGACCAGGCTGCACAGGATGGATGGATGGCCTCCAATGTCAACCTGGTCCTGAGCAAAGGAGCATGGTGTGTCCCTGCAGAGACCTTGTCCTTTCCTGATATTTCTTTCAGCAAAACTACTGCAAGATGGGATTGTGATGACTGTGGGGAAGCTGTGAGATTCATCTTTCCAGTCTCAAAGAAAATGGAAGCTCTTTGTTATGAAGAACAGGTCCTTGGCAGCCCTTCTCAGGGTTAGGAAACTCATCTGTCTCCTACCTAAATTCCTTAGGCTCCGCTGTGATTCCACTTCCTCACTTCCTCCTCAACAAATCCAAAGCAGCTGGAAACCATCTTTTGTATAGTTGCAAACGATGAAGTCATGCCTCATGCTTCCCTTCTCCAAACTGAGTGGTGCTGGTTCCTTCCTATCACATCTCAGCCACATCTTTATGGCTCTCAGTTGACCCCTCTTCAAGCAAATGGTTGTAAGAGAGAAATTACACAGGTTGCCCATGTCCTGGTACTTGATGGTCTTTGGATGAACTCTTCAGCCCTCTTACTGCTTAAGTGAATGATAGAGATGAATGCACTCTGGCTATATTTAATTCTCACCCTGAGTGCAGGCTAGAACATGAGATTAAAGAATTGTGAGCCCTGAGAGAAAGAAAAACCTTGAGGTTTCAAAATTAGCACACAGTCAAAAAGAATGCAGAACTCTTTAATAAATGAAATAGTAGTGCTAAAAATAAATCAGCATGCATTTTACTTTGAATTAGTTTGTTTACTTTTATCAAATATATGAAATATCTTAAAAAGTCAACTAGTACTGCTAGGCGTAACAGGAAAAACAACAGTTTTCTTTCCCCACCACTAATTTTCTCTCCCTGGAGGTAATATTTTAGCTGTATCTTCTGGAGCTCACCCTCACACTTCTGAATTACTTGTTCTTACTGCTATTTCTTGATTTTTTTTTTCAGCCTCAGAGACTGTCAACCGACTTCCCACCATGGAAGATGCAGGTTTTATTCTCCTACACAGCCTAAACTCCCCAACACACTAATTTTCCCACCCCTCTTCTTCTCAACATAATTACACTGAAGTTTTTAATGTTTTTTTTCCCAGCTTTATTGAGATATAATTGACATATAACATTATGTAAGTCCAAGGTACACAATGTGTTGATTTGATCCACTTATATATTGAAAAATGATTACCACCATAGCGTTAGCTAACACCTCCATCACCTCATGTATTTAACCATTTCTTTTTTGTGGTGTGAACATTTAAGATCTACTCTTTTAGCAACTTTCAAGTATATAATACAGTCTTATTAAGCATAATCATCACGCTGTACATTAGATCCCCAGAACTTATTTATCTTCTGTCTAGAAGTCTGTACCCTTTAACCAGTTATCTCCCCTTTCCCCTACCCCCAGCCCCTGGTAACCACCATTCTACTCTGTTTCTGTGAGTCCAGCTTTTTTAGATTCCACATATAAGTGATATCATCCAGTAACTGTTTTTCTGTGAATTATATCACTTAGCATAATGCCCTCAAGGTCCATCCATGTTGCTGCAAATGGCAGAATTTCCTTCCTTCTCATGGCTGAATAATATTCCATTATATATATCACATCTTCTTTATCCATTCACCTTTCGATGGACACTTAGGTTGTTCCCATACCTTGGCTACTGTGAATAGTGCTGCAGTGAACATGGGAGTGAAGATATTTCTTCAAGATCATTTTTTTAATTTCCTTTGGAGATACACATAAGAAGTGGGATTGCTGGATTGTATAGTATTTCTGATTTTAATTTCTTGAGGAACCTCCATACTGTTATACTGTTTCCATAATTGCTGTACCAATTTACATGCCGACCAACAGTGCACCAGGGCTCCCTCTTTTCTACATCTTTGCCAACAGTTATCTCTTGTCTTTTTGATGACAGACATTCTGACAGGTATAAGGTGATATCTCATTGTGGTTTTGATTTGCATTCCCTGATGATTAGTGATGTTGAGCACATTTTCATGTGCCTGTTGGTTATTTGTATGTCTTCTTTGGAAAAGAAGTTCAGTTCCTCGGCCCATTTTTTAACTGGATTTTTTTTTTTTTTTTTTTTTACTATTGAGTTGTGTGAGTTCTTTATATATTTTGGTTTTTAACAGCTTATCAGACATACAATTTGCAAATATTTTCTCCCATTCCATAGGTTGCCCTTTCATTTTGTTGACTGGTTCTTTTTACCATGTAGAGATTTTTAGTTTGATGTAGTCTCACTAATTTTTGCTGTTGTCGCTTGTGCTTTTGGTGTCATATTCAAAAAATCATTTCTAAGACTGATGTCAAGGAGCTTTTCCTTTATGTTTTCTTCTAGGAGTTTTATGGTTTTAGTTCTTATGTTTTAAGTCTTTAAACCATTTTGAATTAACTTCTGTGAACAGTGTAATACAGAGGTTTAATTTTATTCTTCTTCATGGGGTTATCCAGTTTTTCCAGAACCATTTATGGAAGATATTATCCTTTCCCCTTTCTGGGATCTCAGTTCTCTTCTACTGATCTATGGGTCTATTTTTATGCCAGTACCATACTGTTCCTATAGTACCATATAATACTATACTTAGCTTTGTTGTATAGTTTGTAA